TTTAAATCACTTAATTATTCAGTTGACACACCAGTTGATTCAAAGGAAAGTTTGTAGATCCATATTTTCCTCTCAGCAAATAAAATAATTCAAATTGGCGTCTTAAATCGTCTGAACTTCAGCAGCCATTCTAAATAAAATACTTCAGTCTATAACATGTACATGTAGTAAACGCCTTCACGAAGATTAACAAAACAATCGCCCTTTATATAAAAACCTTTATGTCATAGTGTTATGGTCTGCATAATACCCTCCATCGAATCCGATCTCCTTAAGTACAAACCCAAAAAGTAGTTTCCTATCAATTAAATAAGATGTTTATTTCGAAAGGAAGTCCTGTGGTGGTTTCCAAATATAGGCAAGATTTAATCGGAGCACCAAACATCGTTTGCTCAAAGTTCTACGGGAGTCACGACACTGCAGGCCCTATGAACAGACAATTGACAAACATCTGGAAGTAAACAGCCGCCTAAAGCAAGTAGACTTTTTTCGATTAACAAGATGGTCTTCCATTCAGTGGACGCCGTAGTCAAAATAAAGGGGAGAAAAAGTCCGGCGCATTGGTCAATATGTAACTTCCGAGAAGATAGAAAAAGAGAACTGCTGTCCGCGCGAAATGCCCAACAACGGTCATCTTTGATTAATTTATGGATTTTATGATAAAAGACTATTCTTTTTTAGTGAATACCTCACGTACTATGCTTTCAATAGATTCAAATGACTCACTAAATCGAAAAGAGACAAAGCATTCAAATAAAGACATAATATTTACGGACAAATATAAAATTATTAAGTAGGCACGGTCAGTCAAATATGGCGGTTAGAAAAATGTGTGAGGCAGGGAAATATATTTTGACTACACGATATATATTCTACTTTAACGTCTTTCACAAATGTTAATAGCAGCTGGTTTTGTCTATTAATCTTTTTTCATTATTATTGTTAATTATTATTTTTGCTGGGGTTAGAGCTAATGATATCAAGGCACTAGGAGCCATATAAAAGGAAAATTTGATAAAATTTTACTACTACTATTACTACATGTATTACATGTACTACTACTACTACTACTACTACTACAACTACTATATAATAATAATATATAATATATAACTAATAATAATAATAATAATGATAAAATCAATAATAATAATAATAATAAATCGGATGTTAATTATGTGTACATTCTGGCTGGAAGAGACAAACATTTTATCTCTTTTCTACCATGTGATAAAGAAAATAGTATCAGCGCCGGCATGCTTTAAGGCAAACACAACTTCGATTTATTTAAATGTTCCTTAAATTTTCCTTTCACATTTATAGGCCATACCATTGCCAGCAATTTCGAGGGGGGCTTATTCTGATAAAGTGGACCTCTTACCATGAAACATTCGTGTACCTACATCAAATTTTACTCATAACGGACCTTTTTCAGACAAAAAGGGCGGTTCGTTCGAATCGAATCCTCGAATCTCCCCCCTCCCCCCCCCCTTGCTACGGGCCTGTAGTCAATGCTCTCTAAAAAATTTAAAAAAAAAAGCTTTGATTTTGTAATTGTACTAAGTGAACTTTTTTTTAAGTGTTTGTAGTAGTTATATGCATGCAAAGTATAAATGATATTAGGGACAAACTAAATCGATAAGTTGGTAAACGAGCGGCCAGACTCTGTAATCAGCTGCAGGGTCGGTAGGCAAAATTAAGTTTTTTAAACATATAATGTTTAACGGGCATACACGTGGCAGCTTAATTTAGGAGTACGAAATATCAAATCCACAGTTAGGGCGATTTTTGAACATGAAACTTCCAGATTCAAAATGTTTCCTGGGCTTAATTGCTAAATTCCCCCGCTTATTATGTCCAATAAACGTTTTTATTTAGAAAAATATAGGTGTGAAAATTGTAATTTCTTCAAAATAAGTGTTGGTCATTCTCGTTAAGCAACTTAACAATTTTGTCTGGCCTTAACGTTTAATTTTCTTAAAAACTCAAAATGCGTTTTTCAAATATTTCACAACCATTCCTGTTTAATTTCCATTGACTTTTAGCGTCTGCCAAAATTCAAACATGGCCGTTGTCTTCAAGAATAGTCTCTATTCGAAGCGTGAACGTTATTTTTTTTAGTTCACACAGTCAGAAATATGACACTTTGAAACGTTAAATAGTCCTCACGGCGAAACAAACGACTTTATAAGACAGTTCTTTAGACTGTGGTAAAAGTCTCCATTTCGCCTGGTTTCAAAATGATAAAAGCTGAAGTTTTGAAAACAAATTTGATCTCGGCCGTCAAAGGAGTTGATTAAATAATAAGAGCGGACGCATTGTGGACGCCAGCTCGAATGTCATTGCCGACACTTACGTTTAATGGAGGCTGGGCAAAGAGCCGCTCTAATACTGTATCGAAGTAATGTAGATCATGGGATTTCTGGAAACAAAACACCGTGGTATATCAAAGCCCCGTTCCCCATCGTCATTCTCTGATCCGTATTCGTATGCAGAGGGCAAAACAGATTTGCTGTCACAGGCAGATTAAATTTACGTAACGGAGACGCTGTCTCATTGAAGGAGGGGACGCTGAAGATCACGGGCTTGGGTGAGACGGTACGAAGCTCGTGAGTAAGCCTGCGCGCCTAAACCCTCTTCACAATGAATGCCTCGTGTTGTTTCCAAACAAACCCTTTTGATACGTCCAAATTCGTGATCGGCTTTGGACGCTTGGGTTTTGACAGCGGAGAGAAAGGTTGCCACTAATGAAGGCGAGCCAAATGAAGTTGACAGTTGCGTAATAATGTTCATTTACACGAACTGAAAGGCTGCTTTGACACGTACTTGTGAAAAGGAGAGAGAAGTTTACTCGTATGACCATATTTCCTCAGACTGAGATGACGTAATCCGAGTCACTGGCGTACTTAGTACGTACATCAGAACTTATTTGATTTCTTGGGAATAACACGTTATTATAAGTCGCAAATATGATAATATATAAAAAAGATATAAATACGATAACCAAATGGGGATAATATGAGGCAACTGCAAGATTAAATATATATAAATTTATCTTTAATTAATATGGCATTTTTCTTCCTTCTATGACAAAATATATCAATACGCATTGAAATAAAACACTTTTCTTCAATATGATCACATTCATTTTT